AGATCCTAAAGAAATCCCCTCTGGTGCCCTGGATCTGGTCACCAGGCATGGAAGGACATCTCCAGCCTCTGGAGAAGAAGCCAACACAACCACCAGCACGTTGGGTGTGTGTGCAACCCCCTCTGCTTCCACCTCCAGCAGATCATCTCCAGGCAGAATGTGCCCCAGGATAGCTTTGATCAGGCAGAGATGGACCATGGGGTGAAGTCCTGGTGGGATCTGGAGTCCATCACTGAATCAATCAGGTTGGAAAAGACCTTTGAGATAAATGCCAGCAGGTCCCCAGGGCCTCCTTTGCCTGACCAAGCTCTCAGAGATCAAGCACCAGCCGAGCTGCAAGGTATAGACATCTTTTATTTTATTTTTTATTAAAAAAGTGTACAGTTCTTGCATGATACACAACTATTAGAGAGGTTATTACTGGTAGAGAAGAGGCATTTTTGTCATCTGCCCACGACCTCAACGATGCCAGAAAAAGAGGAGGGGGGGAGGACAGGAAAAAAAACCCCAAAGAGCAGAAAATGAAACAGGAAAAATAAAGAACCAACTGAAAAGAAACGGGTCAAACCACCCCAGATGTCTTCAAGTGTCAGAGGGAAGGTAGCAAAGACAGGCAGGACAGGCTGCTCCTCATGCTGCCAACAGCCCTGCTCCAGCACCAGCAGGGCTGGAGATGAGAAATAAAAGCAACAAGAAAATAAAAAGAGGAGAGAAAAAATGTCAAAACACCTCCCGGGCTTCCTGCTGGTCTGTGTGGAGGGTCCCTGCCCATGGGTGAGGGTCCCTGCCCAAGGATGGGGGTGCCCGTCCAAAGATGAGGGTCCCTGCCCATGGGAGAGGGTCCCTGTCTGAGGATGAGGGTCCCTACCCAAGGATGGAGGTCCCTGCCCAAGGATGAGGGTCCCTGCCCATGAGTGAGGGTCCCTACCCAAGGATGGGGGTCCCTGCCCAAGGATGAGGGTCCCTGCCCATGAGTGAGGGTCCCTACCCAAGGATGGGGGTCCCTGCCCAAGGATGAGGGTCCCTGCCCATGAGTGAGGGTCCCTACCCAAGGATGGGGGTCCCTGCCCAAGGATGAGGGTCCCTGCCCATGAGTGAGGGTCCCTGTTCATGGGTGGGGGCCCCTGTTCATGGGTGAGGGTCCCTGTTCATGGGTGAGGGTCCCTGTCCATGTGTGGGGGTTCCTATCCATGGGTGAGGGTCCCTGCTTATGGATGAGGGTTCCTGTTCATGGGTGAGGGTTCCTGTCCATGGGTGGGGGTCCCTGCCCATGGGTGAGGGTCCCTGTTCATGGGTGAGGGTCCCTGTCCATGGGTGGGGGTCCCTGCCCATGGGTGAGGGTCCCTGTTCATGGGTGAGGGTCCCTGTCCATGGGTGGGGGTCCCTGCCCATGGGTGAGGGTCCCTGTTCATGGGTGAGGGTCCCTGTCCATGTGTGGGGGTCCCTATCCATGGGTGAGGGTCCCTGCCTATGGATGAGGGTTCCTATTCATGGGTGAGGGTTCCTGCCCATGGGTGAGGGTCCCTGTTCATGGGTGAGGGTTCCTATCCATGGGTGGGGATCCCTGCCCATGGGTGAGGGTCACCAGGTGGGGTGGGAAGAGGAGCCCTGTGTCTGCAGCACATATTAAAGGGTGGGCAGACACATCAGGAGGAGAGAAGTGGCTCAGGGTTCAACCACGGACACGGTGAAGACAAGAGCACGAGCTGGTGCCACAAGGGGATGGCAAAGCTCTGCTCCAGCCTGTCACCACCTTGGCATCCTTCTACATCCACCAAACCAGGGGTGGGGCAGGAAAAAACGTGGCACAGAAGGTCCTCAGGTGCCACCACCTGAGGCCACTCAGCTCCTTCACGTCACGGAAAAAACCTCTCGACGGTAAAAAAGGGAGAGAGATGAGAGGAGCAGAAGCCAAAGGTTGTTTCCAAAACAGCACCAAGGGGCTGGGGCAAGTGGGGGTGGCAGGGAATTGAACCCAGGAATTGAACCCGGGAGTTGAATCCATCCCATCCCTGGCTGAGAAATTCCCACCACCCCAACGGAGCACAAGGCGACCCCAACGCTTTGCTGAAGGAGTTGAATAAAAACCTCTCAAGATGTCAAATAAGAATGATAGAAGAGCATTATGTGGCTTCACCACGACCCCACCAGTCCTTCCAACCATGTAGGTGCAGTTTTATTTACAACCTTTGTTTTTGGGGGGGGTGAGAACAAGTTTCTTTTGGGAGCTTTGGGAATAAACCCCAGAGTTGATGGAGGGGAAGGAGCAGAGGGGGCAGGGACCCTCCAGAGCAGCCCCCAAAGCTCCTCATCCCCCACTAACATCTTCCCACGTGGATTTATTTTTGCAAGGAGCATCTTGGCCTCCAGGTTTTCCTCCTCCTCTGTGCCTGGGAGGGGAGTTTTGTGCCTTTGGACACACATTTTCCTGGCTCTAGACCCTCTTGATCCAGCAGCCTGCACAGCTTGGACAAGCTCCACCAGTCCCACCCTGTCCAGGTCTGGAGCTAAACTGGGGCCTTCCCAGTATTTCTTTTGTCTTGGGAATCCCTATTTAAGCAGAAAACACATTCCCAAAAGGAAAAGGGGGGGAACATGTGAGGGATCTGATGCCCTAAACCCAGGTTAGGGGATGGAGAGAAGGGGGGGGGGAAGCAAAATCTGCAGAGGAAAAGGTTTGTGGGGGGAAGGGAATTAGAACACTATTTTTATACAATCATGAAAAAATACACATTTTTATTGTGGTTTTTCTTTTTTTTTTTTTTGTATGGGTTTTGGTTTTTTGGGGGGTTTTTTTGTGTGTTTTGTTGTTTTTTTGTTTTACTTTTTAACCTTTTAAACTGAATTCTCACCACCCCAGCACTTAACTCTACTCCTAAGTAGCACCTACAGTTAAGGTTATAGCACAAGCAAAAAAAATGCCAGGGCAACAGGTAAGCAAGTTAAACCAGTGCCAGCAAATAGTGGGTGTCCCCCCCCTACCCCACACCCCCCAAAAATAATGAGAAATTAATAAAACAACCCCCCAGCTTGCTAGATAAGAGTTCAGTACATCATCACATGGGAAATAGTTAATATTATTCCCCTTCCAACAAGCCACAGAATGCTAGAAAGAGAAGTTCAGCACAGTCACTAACCACAGCCCTAACATCACTGCTTTAAAAGGGGGGGGGGAAAGGGAGGTAAAAAAAAAGGGGGAGGGGAAAAAAAGGGAAGGGGAGGGGAGGAAAGGGAGGGAAAAAAAGGGGGAGAAGGAAAAAAAGAGAAGGGAAATAAAAGGGGGGAGGGAAATAAAAGGGGGGAGGAATAAAAGGGGGAGAGGGAAAAAAGGGGAGAGGGGACAAAAAGGGGAGGGGAAAAAAGGGAAGAGGGGGAGGAAAAAAAGGGGAGAGGGAAATAAAAGGGGGGAGAGGGAAATAAAAGGGAGGAGGAAAAAAAGGGAGGGAGAGGGGACAAAAAAGGGGAGAGGGGACAAAAAAGGGGGAGAGGGGGAGGAATAAACAGGGGGGGGGAAGAGGGGAAAAAGGGGGAGGGGGAAAAAAGGGGGAAGAAGGGAAAAAGGGGGGAAGAGGGGAAAAAAGGGGGAGAGGGGAAAAAAGGGAGAGAGGGAGGAAAAAAAGGGGGGGAGGAAAAAAAAGGGGGAGGGGAAAAAAAGGGGGAGAGGGAAAGAAAAAGAGAGGAAAAAACCTTTGCTTCATGCCCGTAATGAACAGAAAGGAAAGTCTTTGTAGATTTTTTTTTTTTATTAAGGGAAATCATGCTAAAGCAAAATGGGATTGGATGAGGTTTTTGGGGTGGGTTTTTTGTATGTTCTTTTTTTTGGGGAAAAAAAAAACCAACCTGAAGGGAAAAAAAAAGGTGTGAGTTGATTGTGCTTGATGAAGGAGGATTGTGACCTTCCAACCCCAGGGACTCCAAACTTGGTGGCATCTTCTAAAGAAAAAGACCCCCCCCAAAAAAAATAGAAACCAATTTTTGGGGGGGAGATGACAAATGGGTCAGTCTGACATTCCAAACTCTGCTGGAGAGTTGCTCAGGGTGGGTGGATTATTGTTGTTTTTTATCTTCCATGCACTGTCCTGTAGGTTACACCACAAATCCAGAAACATCTTTGTCCAAACCCCTCCAGAAACCCAAAAAAAAAAAAGAATACAGCAGGTAACACTCAGCTTTAAAATTCCATCTTAGTTTGCATCTCCAATGTACAATTAATCCAAATTCAAGTATACCAGCATTCCCAGGTAGACATTGACTCTAGTAGATTTCATAGCATTCAACCCAAACAAACAAACAAACAAACAAAATAAGAAATGAAATCTCAGGAGAAATCCAACATGTTTCCATTCTGAAGCATCCTGGAAAAAAAAAAATAAAACAACAAACAAACAACAAAACAACAAACAAAACACAAAACCAAGCCCAAAACAAAACAGATTCACTTGCTTCCTCAATTGGTGCTTTTTTTCTTGTGTTGTGTTTTTTTTTTAATTCTTATTATTCACCTCATTTTTTTAAATGATTTTTTTTTTTTATTTGCTAGATCCTATTCTTTTAACTTGCAAGAACATTTGACTCCTGTGGTGCACACACAAGCAGGTGGCTGCCCAAGCTGGTGCAGAAAGGGGGGAGGGAAAGCAAGAAAACCAAAGTGTGTGTGTGTTGGGGAAATAAAATCGGTGTCGATGGATTCGTGGCCAAAAGCCCCAGGGGTGGATCTTCATGGATCTGAAGCTTCTCAGCAAGGCTAATCCATCTGGTCAGAAGACCTTCTCAGGGAGATTGTGAGGTGTTCAACCAGACTTCAAGCAAGAGAGGGGTGTGGGGGGGGGGAACCAAAAAAAAGAAAGGAAGCAAACTTGAAGCCACTCAAGGGCAGCAGTTTCAAAACTCTGAGGAAGTCAAGACTCGAGGTGAGCTCCAGCTCCATCACTGTTCAGAGCATCCTTTGTGGGTTTGGGTTGGTTTGTTTCCTCCCAAAAGCAAAAAAAAAAAAAAGGGAACAGCTCACCATCCAGACCAAGGAAGTGAACAACATCCAGCTGAAGGCTTTCCAAAGTCCCAACAAGCAAAGAGACCAGTGGTTGTCAGTCCCTACAGTTCAGAAGGGCAGGCAAGGAGTCCACAGAGAAAAACGGACTTAGAATCCAAGTCAGAACTTTTAAGCTTCAAGGCTCTGAATAGCTCCATGCATTTGTTTTTTATTATTTACTTCTTCTAAATGTGACTCCAGGTAAAATACGACCAGCAAGGTTGACCTGAAGGAGCACCTTTCATTCCACACTGTCTGATCTACACCTTTAGTTTCTCATCCCCCAGATTTTACACTCTGAGCAAAAGGCTGTTCCACGTCAGCATCCAAGGTGGTGTCTTTGGAAACACGGATAAGAAAAGCAAATGTCTCTTTGCTAACTCCCTACCTACCAGGGCAGCTGTTTGAGCTGACAGTTCAGTAGCACACAAGTTGACTTGGCCAAATGGAATCTGAATGCATGCATTCGGGCTGCAATATTGCTACCAAAATGGAATGTGGGGATATGCTATGCACCTCGGGCTCGAGAAACGACCAAGAAAATCAAGATCTAAAGGGTGATATATATATATATATCAATGCTATTATTCATAAAAACCTTGTTTAGTAATAAAAAAAATTGCTTTGTTTAAATATGAATATTATAGTCTGCTTCTCGTGGTTAGGAAATTAAGAGTCTCTCTCTGAAAAGCAGGTTGCCTCTTTTACTACAACTCCATATCCTGAGCCTCGTCTTCCGAGAAGTCGGACATGGAGCTCTCGGATGAGCTGTCCCCGGTGCCTTCTTCCTGTTCTTTTAGTGCTTCTTCTGTTGCATATTTCTGAATGTATTCTGTGGGTGACAGAAAAGAGAAGCCATTTCAGCAGCACATATTCAACAGGCAGAGGGTGAGACCGCTGGGACTAACGGCTGGTTGGGTCAACTCTGATATCACGGTTGGTTGGTATCATGTTTGGTTAGTTATAGAGGTCAGGATAGTTCTCAGACCAAAGGCAGCATTGTCCAACAATGTGTGAAAACAGCTGATGGAGACCTCAAGAGATGTGCAAGACCCTTGCAAAGACCTTTGATCTCAAGGCTCCCGTGTCAGCATCACATACACTGAGAGCTGGAAACCACCCAAGTCCTCCCCGGTTCGGTGGATCTCACATAACGGGACACGATTTGAACAACTGCTGAAACAGGAGCTACAAAATGAGCCTAAAAGCCACTGAGATGCCACCATCACACAGCCTGACTTGCAGAAAGAAAGATCTGAGACTTTAGATAGCACAGAACCACCATCACTGAAGCTGAGCACCAGACTGAACTGCCAGACTGACTAAACTCTGCACAAGCCGAGTTCAAGGAAGGGTGGGCAGAGCAAGCAGAGCAGACTGCAACGGGAGCAGCTGCACCTTTTTTCTTGCAGTTTTTAAATAAAAAGCAAAATCTCCCTCCCCAGCCCTAAAATAAGCACAGGTCTGGCCCATCAAATCACAGTTCTTGCAACCTGCTTCCCAGCAGCTGTAGGGATTAGTTGAGGACATGCAGGGACCTGGGCCACCACGCTGAAGGTGACAGAAAACTGTGTCTCACAGTGGGGTCTAAACCACACTGACTTTGGCCACCCAGGTCAACACCTTGAATTTCAGCCAGGAGCAAGCAGGAAAACTGGTTTCCTGGGATTTCTTCAGGCAGATAAAAGTCACCACTGCCAACTGTGGCTTGTGTGGCTTCCACAGTCACCTCTGTGCAGAGGGACAAACAGGAAACACGAAGAGGATCAGATCACGTCAGACGAGAGTCTGGAAATCCCTTTCCTTCCTCCACGGCTACAGGAGGCTCCTGCAATGTTTCCTCCAGGATCCAAGGAGGGGCTGGTGTTCCCAGCAGGCAGAAAAGGCCTGTTCCTTACACACAGTGCATGAACATAAGAGAACCTGCCACAAAACTGGGGTGAAGAAGAGGAGCTCAGCCTACAACGTCAAGTCTTCCTCTTGTTTAGCTCCTCTTTTCCACCTCACGCTGATAAAACTAGATTGGATAAGATTAGATTGGATTTTAGGAAATATTTCTTTACTGAAAGAGTGGTCAAGCACTGGAACAGGCTGCCCAGGGCAGTGGTGGAGTCACCATCCCTGGGGGTGTTTAAAAGACATGTAGATGTGGCCCTTGGGGACATGGTTTAGTGGGCACGGGGGTGTAGGGTTGACTTGATGATCTTGGAGGTGTTTTCCAACCTTAATGCTTCTATTTCAGACACTGGAACAGCCCATCCAAAGAAGTTGTGGAAGCTTCATCCCTGGAAGTGTTCAAGGCCAGGCTGGATGGGGCTCTGAGCAGCCTGATCTAGTGGGAGGTGTCCCTGCCCACGCAGGGGGGGTTGGAACTGGATGATCTTGAAGGTCCCTCCCAACTCTAAACGTTCTGGGATTTCTATGAAAATGGCTTTGCAGAAGGAAGCAGTGATGTGACCTCACTATCCCAACTGCACGTCCCCCACACTCCAGGTGGCTTCAAGGAGGGAGTTGTGCTCAGGCTGCCACAGGGGAATTTCAGCTGTGAACTCCTTATCTTCCCAGACAGAAAGGTATGAAAATCCCACCAAGCCTCCTCCATCCAGCAGCGTTAAAAACCTGAAGAAAGAGGGAATTCCACCATCCCTTTGCTGCTGGCAGATGAGCCCCTGTGTAGAAATGCAAGTATCACATCCAAGTCCCAGCCCAGCAGCTCTCCTGACTGTACCTTCCTTAATTCCTCCCAGGGAATGAGGTCCACATCTCTCCTCCAGGAGCACAGGTCCCTGCTTTTTATTCCATGCCAGATCAGCAGGTGGATGCACTGACCAAGCTGCAGGAGGACACATCTCATGCCAGAGAGCCAAGTGCTACCACACAGGTTTTAAAGACACTGCTTTGCAGAGCTGCTTTCCAAGCCAACTCTCCTTCCCTCTGCACCTTCATCCTTCAGCCTCCTGGAAGGGACAACACTCTGCAAGGGTTATGCATCATCATGATGTATTTCTCCACATTTCTGGAGCTGACGTGGGGACACAGAGCCCAGCCATGTTACTCTGGGTTGTTACAGACAGAACAACCCAAAGCCAACACCTCATGAAGGAGTTCCCAGCATGGAGCAGCTGGTGGTCTTGGCAGACCTGCTCCTCTGCCCTGGAAAAGCCATGAGAACTGGTTGGAATGAGCTTCCAAGCCCAGGGAGCTTCAGCTTCTCCATCTAATCACACACACAGCCCCAGTCTGACTGTTTAAGATACATTATTAACCTGTTTGCTCAGACTGGAGGAGCAGCTGTTCAAATCTGGTCTACAAGAACTTGCTAAGAACTAATAAAGTGTTGAAACACAAACACCAGGAAGCACTGAGTGCTCAAGGTCTCAGATTGCCCTCAGGCTGCTGGAGCCCACATGCCATCAACAGAAAAACACCTTTGAGCTGCATTCTCAGGTCCTGGCTGCTGAGACCCTACTAAGGAGGTGCTTGTCCACATCACCAAGGAGCCCAGGCCCTGCCTGATCATCTCTCCTGCCTGTGGCAGGGGACAGGATTTCAGAGGCAGGGACCATCAGCTCAAGGGATGGACACTGCAGAGTGAGAAGAACTGGTGTGACAAACCTCATGGTTTAAAGATGAGAGGGACTAACTGAAGGAGAGACCCAAAAAAAGCAGGGTGTCTTCAGAGAATCTGCAAGGGGAGGTGGGTGGGCAGTAGATGACACAGAGCTAAGGACACAGGATGCTGACACAACGCATCCTTGCAGTGCCCACTTCCTTCCCAGAGCTTTCCAAGGATTCATCTCCCTCTGGAAAAGGGGTGTTCACCCAGTGTTACTCCTTGCACAATTCATCTCCCTCTGGAAAAGGGGTGTTCACCCAGAGAGGTTGTTACTCCTTGCACAATCCAGCAAAAGGAACCCAAGCTCTTTTGCTGTAAGATTTTGGATGCCCTTGGATGACAAAGAAAACCTCTTACCTTGGAAGCACGTTCCCTCTACACTTATCCCAAACCTACCTAAACAACTGCTGAAGTTGCCTCAGGTGTCCCCAGAGGCAGCAGCCACAAACCAGTGAGCTCAGCAGAACAGGAGGCAAGCAGTTCTTCACTGACTACTTCAAGTGCTCCCTGGGCCACTGGAGAGTTGGACATGCAAGCCACTGTTTCTTACTGTTGGAAAGGACCTTCTTGAGCCTAAACCACAACCTGAAACACTTAAAATGTCATCTTCTACCCAGCAGAGCTACCAAGCTGCTGGGCTGGGTTGTTCTGAAGGTTTAGTCTGGAAAAAGCCAAACTTCCAGGGAGATTCTGTGCTGAAAGTCCAATTTAACCTGCATCAAAAATGGCAACAAACTGTCCTCCACAGAAGCCTGTTCACATCAAGAAGGGAAAGCCTTGATGTTCCCATTCCTACCAGGGAAACACAACTTAGATTAGTCTGTTTTGAAACCCTGGAGCAACAAGAACAAGCTGTGGTTGTGCCTCCTGGCTGGTAGGTGCCTGGGAGCCACAGTGGTGTCTCAAAGGACTCTACAGAAACTTCATGGCCAGCACATGGGATAGAAGAACTGCTCACAGAGATGTCCTCTGCTCCTGGCAAACCCTCACCCTGCCCCTCAGTACCCTTCAAGCTGCTGTTACTCACCACCACCACCCCTAAAAGGACATTTTCCTATTAGATCTACCAAAGAGGAAGAAAAGCAGCAGAAGCAAAGAGGAGTTCAGCACCAGATCCCAACAGCTCAACACAACTGAGCCATTTTTGTGTGTCTGAAGCCCATCCTCTGGTGCTCTGCCAGCCATCTCACCCAGGACTGTCAGGGAGATCTTAAAGGAGCATTTGGCTCCATGTCCAGGAACTACCTGATCAAACTGAAGGCTCTAAATCCCACTTTCCAGCTTCAAACCTCTAATCTCAATGGACATTTACAAGTTTCACACCAAAGCCTTGTTGGGGTCTCACATCACAGGAACTACAGACCTTGGGCAACATCTCTAAGCCTACACCCACCTCTTCACTGCTGCCATGTCAAACAGCTATTCTAGGCACTCATCACTAAAAGATGAAGAAAAGAAGCCACAAATGTTTGCCTTGCACTACTGAGCTGCCCAGAGCAGAGAAGCTGCATCAATTTTAACGTGTCCAAGGCTATTTTTAAAAGTGGCTACAATCTGAGGCATGACAGTGCTCAGCTCTGGCTCCTCCTGGTCACGCAAGCCTGGGAGGAGACAGCAGAGGCAGGACTCTTGGGCTCATGGAACATGAGACACGTTACAAGCACTTAAAGCTCCTTCCACATCATCTCCACAGCCTGTTCCTGGCTGGCAGGATGCTCACGAGGGAGCAGACTCTCCCATTTAGCCTCCCTGAGGGATGTCTTCAGATCTTCCTTGAAGCACCTGCTGTTTATGTCCTTTTTTTTCCCCCCAGGGTGTAGCTTTTTTAAAAATTCCTGTTCCATTACAGCACAGAAGACACTCAGAGTGTCCCTGGTGTTGGCCCCAAAGATTTCCTTTGACAAACCCACTTTGCCTTGAAGCTTGTTTATATAGGGAAAAAAAAAAAAAGCAACGGACTTCAGGATTCTGAGCAGGCCAGATTTGCAGGATGGTTCTTCTTGTCATGTAGCTGTCAGAGGAATCAAAGTGGGCTGAATAACTCAGGATTTAAATCACAGCCTTGCTTGGCCTCATTTGTGGTTCCACCCTCAAACACAAACTGCAGCTGCTTGAAGAGCCATTTTTTGTCGGAACGAAGTGACTTGAAGTTTAAATGCTCTGGAGTGAGGTGGTAGAGCTGATGGAAAGGCTCCACCACCAAACCCCACGTCCTTCTGGGATCCCTGCACTCCCCAAACACCAGGGAACTTCCACAATGACCCTCTCAGAAAAGCTCCTGCCCCACCTCACAGCGGGAGGAAGATGATCAGATGGTGCCGCTCCCAGAGGCTCTCCTTGCTGAACAGGCCCTGCAAACCTTTCTGGCAGGGCTCCCAGGGACAAACAAGTTTCATGGTTATTCAGTAACCAAAAAAATAGGAAAAAAAAATAAAAATCAGGAGGTCATGGGCTCCTAAAAACTTAGCTGAAGACCAAATCTGGGACAAAGGCTGTAAATTTCCCACCACTGGATTAAGTGCTGGTTGCATTCACTGGAGCAGGGGAGAAATAAAGTCCATGGCTTTGCCCCAGGCCTGTCCCATCAGGAAATGGTGCCCTGCCCCTGCCTGCAAGCAGCTGATTCTAGGGAAGGCAGAGAGCAAATCTGAAGCAGAGTTCTTATTTTCTATCTTCTTTCTTACGTTTCACACGCAAAACGAATTCAGTTTGTGTCTCTGTTCTCAGCTTGCTGGTCCTTTCTGACCCAAAGGAGTTGAGAGTCCTTACTGGGAGCCTTCCCTGGTCCCATAGCTTTCCATCCTTTCCAAGAACAGACACACCAGCACCCTCACCAGCTGAGCCAGCATTCACCTACCCTTCCCCAGCCACTGTTAATGTTTAACCTGGGCTCCCCCAACCAGGTCACAGACCTGTGATCGACATCCTGCTCACACCCACCACAGGATAACTCCTGTCCTCTAGACTAAACCCCTCCAATCCCTTCCATCTCTCTTCAGACACACCTTCAAGATGTTACACCCTTTGAGATGTCACTAGCTGGTCTGCAGCTTCCTTGAAGACCAGTCCTTGAACTGGGCACAGCATCAGGAAGCCTCAACTTAACTTGGAAGTAGCGAGGAACGATTTACTTGGCATTTCCTGAAGATTCCTGCTCTGTCACAGGGCAGAAGTGCTTCCTGCAGCAGCTGCACTGATTCCTTGATGGCTGCCCTCGGATGACTTTCCACAGAACTGCTAACAAGCCACTTTCTATTCAGTAATTTTGCAACTGCTGCTTCAGTTTAGCCCTTTTCCTGGTCCCTTCTTTGGTCACACACCTTTTATTCCGAATCGTTTCTCCAGCCTCTTGAGATGGTGTTGAATCCTAACGGAGGTTGATCACAGCCTTCCCTCTTAGGGGGCTGCTGATGGATCTAAAACCCCTGGCCCATACCCTGCACAGACCAGAGCAGCAGCTCACCCACCCCTAACTTCAGGCTGTCCTCATTTGAAATGGATGGGGAAGGGATGGGGACCAACACACAACTGTGCAGCAAAGACAGTCCCCGTTCCCCCAGGGTGGAAGCACAGCAACACCACCTGCTCTGCAGGATGGGGCAATCCAAAGCACAAACCCAGGCTGGGCAGAGAGGAGATTGAGAACAGCCCTGAGGAGAAGGACTTGGGGCTGCTGAGAAGCTCAACAGGAGCAGACATGTTGCACTGGAGCCCAGAAACCACCCGTGTCCTGGGCTGTCACCAGCAGCAGGACCAGCCGGGCCAGGGAGGGGATTGTCCCCTCTGCTCTGCTGAGACCCCCCTGCAGGGCTGGGGCCACCTCTGGGGTCCCCAACACCAGAAGGACACAATGCAGCTGTTGGAGAGAGTCCAGAGGAGGCCTCAGAGATGCTGGGAGGGCTGGAGCAGCTCTGCTCTGGAGACAGGCTGGGAGAGTTGGGGTGTTGAGCCTGGAGAAGAGAAGGCTCCAGGGAGACCTTAGAGCAGCTTCCAGTGCCTGAAGGGGCTCCAGGAAAGCTGGGGAGGGGCTTGGGACAAGGGCAGGGAGGGATGGGAGCAGGGGGAAGGGTTTCCAGCTGGAAGAGGGAGCTGGAGCTGAGATGTGAGGGAGAAATTCTGGGCTGTGAGGGTGGGGAGAGCCTGGCCCAGGTTGCCCAGAGAAGCTGTGGCTGCCCCATCCCTGGCAGTGTTGAAGGGCAGGTTGGATGGGGCTTGGAGCAGCCTGGAATGGTGGGAGGTGTCCCTGCCCATGCAGGGGGGTTGGAACCAGATGGTCAGGTCCCTTCCAACCCAAACCCTTCTGTGATTCTATGTTCTCTACTCTCTTACCTTTAATTTTCTGTTTGTACTCCTCTGGTCGGTGCAGGTACATGGCTGCAGCGTCGCCATTTAGAGGATCTATGGGGTTAGGATAGGCCAGCAGCTGGGGCAGGAACGATTCAAATATATTGGTGAGATCTGCAAGTGAAAAGACACAGTTGCTCATGTCCACAGACCCAGACTCAGTCAGATTAATCACCCTGAAAGCACCAGCACTGTAACAGCAGCACCAAGCTTCAAGGGCGCTGAAAACCTGAGCAGAAGTTAAAATAAAGGAACTAATTGTCTTGGTTCCCATTGAGGCTCAGCCCTGGCCTAAAAAAAAAAAAAAGAAAATAAGAAAAAAATATAGCACTGTGCTTCACCCCTCACAAAATCCTTCTACTTTTGCCTCCTTTTATTACCACCTTTAAATGCCTTGTGCTCCATGACTAAATTGTGAAGCACAAAGCATCTTCCAGAGCACTTGAGATGACTGTGTTAATAGAAAGAACAACCAACAAGTTCCTCCTCCAACTCAAAACAATTTACAGAATGTGAAGAGCTCACATTAACACCTTGGTGCCAGTTGGCATCTGTCACCAAATAATCCACAACAGGAAACATGCTCCTGGTGCTGATGAGTAATTGTGGATACACGAAACCCTCTTCCCACATCCCTAAAGCAAGTCCCACACTCCAGGGGTGGGGGTGTTCAGAAACCAGCCCTGTGTCACCATTTCTCCACAGGGGTTTGGAAGGACCATGTACACCCACAGGGAGCAGAGATGAACCCCCCAGAGCAGGGCTGTGGGCCAGGTTTTGCTTTAGAGAGAGCTGCTGGTACAGGCAGACCAGCATTTGTAACCCGGGGTTTGCTGTTGGGTTTTGTTGGTGAATATTGAACACATCCTTCATCAGGATTCCCCTTTCCTTCCCAACTAAAAGGCAGAGAAATCCTGCCTGTGGATAAGCATCACCAGTCCCCTTCAGCATGGATCCAACTGGAGCTGTCAGGAGGGAAGCCCAACACTCCCAAGGACCCACCACGTAAGCAGTGAACCACCTAAACCTGCCTCCTACAGGAACAAGGCTGGGTGAGCTCAGCCACCACTGAGCCTCACAGGCTAAATTCAACTAGATCTGACAGAGGGCAGGGACCTCAGAGCCCTTAATTTTCTAAAAGATTCATCAAAATGGGTGGGCAGGAAGGGGGAGAGACCTCCAGGTGCAAATGGTTGCTCTGGCCTGCAGCCACAGAAAACCAGCTCTAACTCCAGGGCCAGCAAACATCCAGCTTCAGAAGAGCAGCAGGTCATCCCTTCTGCCCCATGGTAGCACCTCTGCAGACCTACCAACAGGTGTGCTTTCATAATATGCTTTCAGATCTTGCTCAGGAGGATCAAAGGAGACCTGAGGTTGTCAGTTCTTTCCTCCCGCATCAACACAGCCCCGATGGACAGACCCTGCTGTGAGTGCTTCAGGCACCTGCTCAGCACAAGCCCTGCTGGGCAGGAGGACAGGCCATGGTTTTACACACCCAGGAACACAGGGTTCCTTACAGACTCCTCACTGAGCCAAGATCACATGGAAAACAAGATATTGCATCACTCAATTGCAAAAAGTCACGACATGGATCGGTACAGAGGGTGAGTGGCTGGTCTGTGCTGAGCAGGGACACCACTAAGAAATCAGGTGGTTTTACCTTGAAGTCTCTATTAAAAGGGATTTACATCTCTTAAATCTACTATAAAAATCTGTTTCTACTACAGAAATCTCTTTCTACTGTGGCACCTTGACCAAGCTTGCCATGGCTGGCATGCTGAGCAGCCACGTGCCACCAGATCCTCCCATGATCTGCAACTGGAAGATGGATCCTAACCCAAGAAGGGATCACAAAACCCAGGGAGGATGCTTTGGAAGAATACTTCTTGCCATGGTAATGGCTTCTCCTTGGTAAACTAATTAATTCTCCTCCCAGGGACTGGTTTCAGACACTATCAGCAAGAAGTTGGGTCAAGTCTCTGCACGGAGCAGCCTTACATCAAGTATTTCTTTTTGGCTGTTGAACAACTAAACTCCACAGCCACCAAGGCTCACAGGACACTGCAAGGATTCTCTGTTGCTTTAGGAGACCCCAGTCATTTCCCCCTTCTTACAATTCCCCAAAAGCTGCATTGGTTTTAACTAGTTGAACATGTGTGGGAAGCCCAACCAGAGCACTAAGGACTTGATACTTCACTAGGGAATTTAACCACATGGTTCTCAGGAATTTATTGGTAGCTATTCTGGGTCTCTTCCACCTTAGTTGCTTCTGGAATTATCTGACCCATTTCCTCTGCCAGCACAGGAGTGCTCTGCTTTAAAGGGGTGACACTCCAAAAACCACTGGGGAATGTTATTTCCCCTTCTCATAGCATGTTCAGAAAGGAGCCACTGTCAAACGATGCACTTTCCAGTTTCACCAGTCACTGTGGAAGCTGCTCTGTACAGAAGACATCCCTGAGACCTTCAAGTTACCTCACACCTACCATGGACACCACAAGGAAAAAGGCAGATTTCTGAATGCTTGCTGATATTAATACATCCCGAGTACAGTAAATACTGAAGTTGTTTTTTCTACCCTTACCAGAAATAACAATGACAAAAGTACAGCAGGACTCACCAGGAGACTTTCTCTCAGAGAAAGTCTTCTGAAGTTCTTTGAAAACAGTGCAGAAACCCCACTCTGGCTGTGCTGCAGAACAGGGTTAGGCTGTCCATGCACAGCTTTCAAAGCAGAACCCAGACTGCTGGAGCACAAAAATTAAACTGGAGCGATTTTCCAGCTGTCCAGCCATCCCCAGGATCTGCAGGTGGCACTGAAGGGTTGGGACATACTGCTGGATCATCCCCAGCAGAAGGCTTGGTTTGCCAACACCCCTTTAATTCCTCCACCTCAACAGCTGATCCTCCCAGGAACTCAAGAACATCCTCTTCCTCCATTAGCAGCTCCACTTGGGTCACAGTCAAGCTGATCTCTCACAACAAGACCATGTGAAGTGGATGCCAAGCAACTAATACACAAGGACTTCAGGTATTTGGATGAGGAGTGAAGTTCAACAAGTTGCTATAGTGATTTCCCACCCTGGATTCACCAAGTCTGGTATTTCCTTACAAATTGTGCTTGTGAGGAAGGCAAAGGAGCTGGTGTCTCTAGCAACTGCTTCAAAGCTTCAACTTAAACAGGTAAAATCAGGTTTTTATGGCAGGGGAAGGATCTGATGCACATGTTCCCCTGGATGCTCTTCCACAAAACATGACTGGAACATCTGAAGAAGTTAACATTAGCAGCCAGACTAGACTAGACACTCATCTATATTTCTTCTACCAACTTCAGCTTTCCCTAAATGCCATTTTAACAGGTCTTCAGCAACCAGCTGATCTCTTGATGTAACTAAAAAGGAGAATTATAACCAGAAACAACCTCCTGGGAAAGCCAAGGCACTGAGCAGCAAGCAGTGCAGGCAGCAGCTGCTCCACCACCTCCTGGCTTGCAGTGAAATGATGCTGTCCTGACAAAGAGAAACCATTTCTGATGCCACCTTCTGTAGAAGTGGGATCACAGCCTTGTTGTGCAAAAAGCAAACCAGCTCAAATCCATGTGTGGAATGTGGATGGGATGGCTGGAACCAGGTTTCACTCCGGATACTTCTCCCTTGCAGGGTGCTGATTTGCAGCTGCCAGATGATACCAAAGCAATGGATTAAGTGATCCTTTGTGAGGCTTATGGAACATTTTCACCTCTCTGGCACAAAAACAAGTTACAAAAGCATTTTCACAAGAAATACTTATTTTTTTCAAGTGGCCTTGGCTCAGTGAGGGGTCAAAAACTGTAGTAAAAAACCAAAAACAACCCAAAAGTTGTCCTGAGAGCATCTGTCTCCAGCAAACACGGATGTTCATGCAGCCAGGTTTCAGTGAAACACCAAACTCACCGTAGAGAGCTGTCCAAGTCTGATTGATTACATCTAGACATACAGTTCCTGACCTGAAACATATGGAAAGGATGGAATTAAAAACTGTCACACTCCAGAATACTGTGGGGATTTAATGTAATCTACCCCCTCCCTTCCCCTGCCCCACTGCTGCAGGTACATGGTGATTTACCCCTCTCTTGAGCAGCCTTTAATGACATGAATCTCATTACTCTGCACAAAAGAAAGTAAATTGGGGCCATTACTGAATGAGTTGGTCCACGTGGGGCTCTGCTGGACACATTGGCACAGGTTGCTCCCCTTCCCAACCTTAAGTGAAAAATGAAAGTGGCAAAACATCTTATGTTTTGAAGAATTTTAGTACAGAGTTAACTCCAGCTCATGAGGGAGCTCTGGCTTAGCTGAGGCAGTTCTTTGTTTCTAGAAAGCCAGCATGACAGTGTCAATGAGGAGGGGGACTGGCCACCTTGAATTTTCTGTAAAAGAAGTATGTTGTAATAGAAATTGTCCCAGGGGAGTTTTAGATTGGGTATTAGGAAAAATTTCTTCACCAAAAGGGTTGTCAGGCCCTGGCCCAGGCTGCCCAGGGCAAGGGTGGAGTCCGCATCCCTGGAAGGGTTTCAAAGCTATTTAGATGTGGTGTTGAGGGACGTGGGTCAGTGGTGGCCTTGGCAGGGCTGGGTTAATGGTTGGACTGGATGATCTTGAAGGTCTTTTCCAACCAAAATGACTCCATGATTCTCCAAAGACCACATCTGCAAGAGAGTCTGCAGCATGCAGGTCTAATCTTGCCTGACCCACTCCTGAAAGGTCACTTGAGACAACATCTACTTCTATCAAATCCTCCACTCTGGACTCTTTGATTGATGAACACATTACTCAACTCCTCAACACATGATTGCAGAGCCAAAATACAGGTACAATTAGGCAAACTCCTTAGGAAAAAAACCCCCACACTAGGGATTTACTTACGCTTCGTCAATGTTGGGATGGAAAATTTTATTCATGAATCCTGCAAAGAGAGACACTGGTAAATAGCAGAAAACAACCACAGATACTTTACATTTTTTTTAATAAGAGAAATCTGGAATTTACTGAACAAGGACTCATCTGACTAATTTCAAAGAAAACCCAGCCTTAGCTATATATACCTTTAAAACAGTCAGGCAACCTGCTGACCCTTGGGTCCTTGTCCATTCCCTCAAAATTCAGCAAACCCCTCTTGCTTACAGTGCAACAACCACACCACAAAGCTTTTGTGGTTCAGTATTATCTTGAAAAGAACTGCTCATCAGCACAACCAAGCCCCCACATCTGATGAAGCATTTTTTAAAAGCTGCAAAGGATCTTCTGAACAAACACTCAACACAAAACTTCAGCTCAGCATTTGCCCAAAGATTAAATGTTTGTAATGTCTCCTGACAAAGATTTTCCTATGAACTTGAAGTTGCAAAATCAGTCTCCACCGGGTAACCATTCAAAGAGCCAGCAACTTCAAGTTTTGCACCAATACAGCAATTAATTCCCTCACTTGGTCCCTCTGGTCTCCTAGAAAAGACAACAGCTCAGATGCAAGGCCTGGAACAAGCAGCTCATCGTGGGTTTATCCTCATTTCAGACTCCTAGATTTGATAATGGCTTCCTTCTTTTCTTTCCAGCATGCAAATTAAATTGTTTGTTGTTGGTTTTGTTTTTTTTTAAATAAATCCTCTGGTTTCAAGACTTAAAAACATCATAGTAGAAGATGCCTCCCACTTTAAAGACTGCATCTGAGAGCAGCAGCTGGACGTGAGCTATGACCTCCAGCTGCCAACTTTAACCTTGAGTTCAAGACAGATGGCACCTCCAAAACACCCCCCTCTTCCCCCACAGACAAGAGTTTACAAAACAAAGAGATGAAAGGAATTGTAACACACCACACTTGGCACCACAGCCCGTGCAGAAGTAAAGCACACCCACCCCAAAAGTGTTTCAGAAGATGGCTGCGAGTGGATGCAGAACAGCGCCTCCAAACCCATCCCTTCCAACAGGAGGAACCCAAATACCCAGGTGTGGGCAACAACCCCAGTGAAGCCTGGACACAGAGCTGGGATAGAAACCTGGATTTCCCAGTTCCTCCACTGCCAAATGGATCAAGTATCCTCCATAATTCTGCTGGCTCGGCTGGATTGCCCGGGCTCTGCCCAGACAGGCTGTGCAATCCTTGCTCCTGTACCAGGTTAAGCTGCTTCCACATCCCAACACTGATTATTTGGTTTTCTATTTCCAGAATTACAATCAAACCTTCTCTCCCCTATTGCAGCATCATCCCACAGCCTGGAAAGCCCTGCAAGCACTGCCCACGTGAGACCTTTCTGCACTAAGCAAAAAACGACTTCAGCAACTATTTCACCTGGCACAGGCCCAGGTTTATGAAAATAGGTAAGAAATTTAGGTCTGGGATATTGACTCGATCCATCCCAAAAGCTCCTTCCAGCACTAAAACCACCAGAAGTTTCCTCTTCAGAGCAGTCACTGCTTGTTGCTCAGAAAGGTCCCTACCTTCACCACCTGGATCCAGCCGCTCCAGGCGAGAGACACTGCAGCCCTGCTGATGTACCAGCTCTGCCCAAACCCGGAGTGATGACAATCTGAGTGACAGCATGCTTCCCATCTGGCATAAGAGCTGACATACGGATTTAACTCCCTTTCTTTCCATGTATTATGACACAAATATAATTTCATGTTTACTTGTACCACTCGGATTTTGCATAAACACGACGCGAGGCTGAAGCGCTGCCCGAAGCCAGAACAATCTCTGAAATCTGAGATCTGCATAAACAGCTCCACACTAACAAGTGTCTTTCAGGAACACCTTGCCATCAGTTAGCTGCAAGAACTGAACCAGACTTCAAAAGGGAAGCTGTAGTTCCATCAAATATTTACATTATGGCAGCTCTCGGGAGTTTAAATCAGGTCACAGATCCATTATGCGGGTGCTGGAGAGCTCCAGTGAGCACTGATCCTGATCCTAAGGCCTGTCCCTCTCCTTGGTGGGGGAAAAGGAAGTTAATTTTCTGGTAAAGCAGAAGAGAAGAGAGGAAGGGGGAAGACACCAGGTAACACAAATAGGATGGTTATGTGCAGACTTGCTGAATTGAACACTCTTTGTTCCGGTATCTGGGAGACAGCCGGGCTCTACTCAGCCCAGCCAGACGCAGCCATCCCTCTGCCTTCTCTCACTCTGGTGTTCTGACCATCTCACCTATCTTCTAGAACCTTCTACCTGGAGTACTGTGTCCAGGTCTGGAGCTCTCAGTACAGGAGAGACGTGGAGCTGTTGGAGAGGGTCCAGAGAAGTGCCACGGAGATGATGGGAAGGCTGGAGCAGCTCTGCTCTGGAGCCAGGCTGGGAGAGTTGGGGTGTTCAGCCTGGAGAAGAGAAGGCTCCAGGGAGACCTTAGAGCAGCTTCCAGTGCCTGAAGGGGCTCCAGGAAAGCTGGGGAGGGGCTTAGGACAAGGGCAGGGAGGGATGGGATGAAGGGGAAGGGTTTCCAGCTGGCAGAGGGAGCTGAGATGTGAGGGAGAAATTCTGGGCTGTGAGGGTGGGGAGACCCTGGCCCAGGTTGGCCAGAGAAGCTGTGGCTGCCCCATCCCTGGCAGTGTTGAAGGGCAGGTTGGATGGGGCTTGTGCAGCCTGTTCTAGTAGGAGGTGTCCCAGCTGGGAGGCTGGAACCTGATGATCTTTAAGGCCCCTTCCAACCTTCACCATTCTGTGATTCTATCACAGCCACCTGCAGCTGGTTGGAGCAGGTTGAGCTGCAAACCCACCTGTGAGATTTTGGTCACCTCTTCCTTCACATAGTTCAGCATTTAAGCTGTACTCAGTATGCAGGGAGATGAGATTAGGTTGCCTGTTCCAGCAGCTCCTGTGCTGGAGATTTTTAATTCTTCTCTGACACTTTTGCCTTCACCCAGGCCAGGAACAATCCCTTCTTTCCTACTGTCCTCGGCCTCAAACTTGGCAAATGAAACAGTTGTTCTTCAAGAAAGGACACAAACATCCTCTCCCCACACTCCTCACTTCCTAGGTTGTTGCTACATCTTCTTGCAACTCTTCAAGGTCTCCCCACTCTTGTTCTCCTACAGATACAAACTGCCCAGGCCAAGAGCAGCCCTGTTTTTCTCTTCCTCAACCCAGAAATAGCTCAAACTGTTATCTCCTCCCCTATGTGAAATGTAAAGTCACCTGCAGTGATAAAGCACTAACATTGCTCCAAAAACACTGACTTGCTCTGTATTTATTTTTACAAATACAAAAGACAAAGCAAGTGTAAACATCCATGTAAAAATGAAATTCCAAATGAAAGAGGAATCTGGGAGTAAAAAAAAAAAATCTCTCAGCCCAGCATAAACACTGGGCCAGGTTTATTGCCATGGTCTTGAATAGAGCAGACTGCTTAACATCCCATGCTGAATTCCAGCTGAGTGCTCCATGAAGAGTGCACCAAGGGACAGGCTTTTGATTTTGGGTTCTCACCATGGCCTGGAGCATGAAGCCAAAATCACAGGGTGAGCAGCTGTGATTCTGTGTCCTGGACTGGCTGTGACTGCTTCAATTAACACTTTAAAAAGAATATTCACATTGAACTCTGGAAAAGCCAATGCTTAGGAGGAACCTGAGCAGCAGAGCAGCTGCAGTCCACCCTTTCCTCACAGAGGCACTAAGCTCCAGGACTGAAGGTAAAGCAGAACTGTATAAAACCTGTATAGACAAAAAAGCTTTGGGTGACAACAGGAAAAATTTCCACATCAACCAAGGAGCTACACAACAGAAAGGGACACATCTGTTCTGATACTGGAAGACACCAAGACCAATATGCAGATGCTGACCTTCAAAACCACTGGTACTGCAGCAGTTGCCCTGGAGTAATCACTCCTTGGGTTGACAAAGATCTTTGAAGAGAAACACGTTTTTAAATTAAAAATCAGCTAACTGAAAGGCTCTCAGTCTTCCCTGGTGCTGCAAACACAGGGACATAGATAAAGCTCCAGTAGTTGGGTGTATTCCAGCATGAAATGAAGTTCTCTCGTGGTGCTGCTCCACATCAACTGTGGATGGGGCTGAGCATCCAGGGCACTGACTCACAGGTGGGTCAAAATGGGTCACCCAGAGGATCACACGTCATGGCTGGACAACAGCTGAACACACTCTCCAGGAGAACAAAACCACAGTGGATCATCAGGGAGGAATTTCTGACTTACGTTGATGTCAACATCTCTCTTGAACAGCTCCATGCTGAAGGACACACCATCTTAACCAGTGTCCTGTCATGAGCTGCTCTGCCAACAAGCTCTCCTCCAAAAGGCCAAATACCTGGATGACTTGAGGAACACAAAGGACTCCCACAGCACCTCTAATCCTGTGGAGCCATTAGGCAGAAAGCTCCTGCAAGAGGTTGTTCCACATTGTTTGCTCCCCTATCCCTTCACCTACAGGCTGGACTGTGTTTAGAAAGGGTCTCGTACCCTGGTACAGCCCCCATAGAATGATAGAATGGTTTTTTGGGTTTGAAGGGACCTTAGAGATCATCCAGTTCCAACCCCCTGCATGGGCAGGGACACCTCCCACCATTCCAGGCTGCTCCAAGCCCCATCCAACCTGCCCTTCAACACTGCCAGGGATGGGGCAGCCACAGCTTCTCTGGGCAACATGTTCCAGGGTCTCCCCACCCTCACAGCCCAGAATTTCTCCCTCATGTCTCACCTGAATCTCCCCTCTTCCAGTTTCAATCCATCCCTCCTTGTCCTCTCACTACAAAACCTTGTCCAAAGTCCCTCCCCAGCTTTCCTGGAGCCCCTTCAGACACTGGAAGGTGCTCTAAGGTCTCCCCAAAGCCTCCTCTTCTCCAAGGGATAACAAGAGGGATGAGAAACCTGGGCTGGAAATAAAGAGCTGCATCCTTGCTCTCTCCAAAGCTCCAGCTGCACAGTGCTATCCTGCAGCAGCAGCAAACCTTCTGCACTCCTTGG